GGTGAGGCACCACGAGACCGACAACCAGAACGCAACTCCATAGTTTCCTGAGACTGATGGATGTCTACTACTATTAAGGAGAACGGGTCGGTCCTTTAGTTAATTTCATTTCAATGAGGAATGACTCATAATATAGCCATCGCCAGGAGACTTATGGGATATATTTAGACAGGTAAGCACTGAGTTCCGTTACTCTGTTAGTAATGTACTGACCCTTCATTTTAGCAAGTACTCAATTCATTGTAATTTGAGTAGCAAAGATGTACAGATATAGTGTTCAGTTTAACCGTACATTTATTCCTGTTGATATGCACACACACACGTACACACACACACACACACACACACACACGTACACACGCACACATTGACGACTGCTAAGTCGTCAGCTAGGACGGAACAAGTGTCAGCAGGCGATAGTGAAATTATCATCAAAATCCGGGGATATTTAATCGTTATAGCGATCAAAACTTAGTTTTGGTCTCACACAGTGTGCAACAGCGCAGTGATCAATCGTATCATTGTGAATTCTTATAGCGGTATAAAAGTTAAATAGAAAGAACGATTTCTTGTGGCAATACCAATCTTGTGGCAGTGGGGTCGGGGTAGTTCTTGTAAGGCATGTCTGGAACTGCGTAACAGAGAGTAGTATTGTGGTGAATGAATAGAATAGTGTTGTTGTGAAGTATTATTATAGTACCCACAGTGATTGAGCTCGCACAGTGTAGAAAATTTTCCAAGTGACTAGCACTTAGTGGACAAAGCAACATCCACGTAGAATCTGAAACAGACCAGAGATTACCTACGGACATTGCCATATGGGCAGCATTATTTATTCGCCTAGTTTACGTGAGCAGGAAGGCTTGGATGGTAGGTAATGCTTCTTAAGTCCTATCTGGTATACAGAGCAAGGTGAAATAAAAAAAAAGTGTTCATTATTTAGTTCATTATTAAGATATTTAGGCGCATCTGCATTTGTGCAGCTACCCTAGACTATATGAAGGGGAGTACAGCGTGTCAAAAAACTAGCTACGTGGTGCAAAAAATTCCCATCACTCAGGATGGTTAGTCATACAGAGTCATACACTGTATTCTGTATCTCGAGTCAGCACCTCGTCCCGTATAGCAGTAGCGGCGCATTCTGCCCGGGTTTCTCGCAAGTAACTCAAATGGAACTACAGTACACTTTTAGGACATTGCCAGACAGCAATCGAATAATGCAGGTACCTGTAGGGTACTCAGGTACCTGCAGGGTACTCGGGTACCTGCAGGGTACTCGGGTACCTGCAGGGTACTCGGGTACCTGCAGGGTACTCGGGTACCTGCAGCGTACTCGGGTACCTGCAGGGTACTCGGGTACCTGCAGGGTACTCGGGTACCTGCAGGGTACTCGGGTACTACTTTGTACTCTTAAATTGTACTGCACACAATCAGGCATTAATACTGCAACATTCAGTTCCAGTAAATCACTTTAACTCAATACTTGTTTATGTTATACACGAGAAGTTGTGAAAGTTTGAAAATAAACTTTTCGTATTTCCGTCACATTCTGCAGAGCAGAGCACAGCACAGCACAGTACAATCCTTCACAGAACAGTACAGTACAGCACATCATAACACAGTACAGCAAAGCACAGTACCGAGCAAATCACAGTACTGTGCTTTACAATAATAAAGCACAGCACAGTAAGAATTGCGTCACTTTTGTGAGTCGATTTCATTTCAAATTACGTCCACATTTGGCCATAGCGCGCATACGAGCGAAAGGTGACGTTATTTTTAAGAGGACGGATTGACTTACTAACCACACGTAATGACTCAATGGTCTAACCACCCCGTCCTCACACTACACTGCCCCAGGCGGCGGCCATATACGTATACTTTCATGTTAACAAATTCTGTGCTCAAAATCGACGTTTTCTCAAATATAAATTAAAACTGTCATATATTTGAACTTGCTGTATAGTTAAGTCTAGGCTAGCTTATGTTGTTTAGGTTCTATTGAAAATTATTGGGTGAAGTATTGACAGGAACTATTCGAGCAGAGAACGGCGGCAAAGCCCTGTTTCAGAAATGTTCGAATGCCATCTGTTGTGAGTCGTGGGTAAAATTTTTCTACGTTCGTAAACCAGGGATTTGACGGCTTGATTAACGAGTATTTGGCTTTTGTTTATGATGACGGGTAGTGAGTGGCCCCGAGGAAGTACAGGGCTCAGATCTTCCTTTCAAGACTCGAATAAACACGCTTATAATACCCTCTCGACCACAGGCAGTGTTTCATCGTAGTTTCGCCTCAAAACATCGGCCAAATGCATCACTCATGTCGTATTCTCTAAGCTCACATTCCCTAAATATTTCATATACGCAATTGAGCACATATAATTATATTCTTCCTCATAAGCAGACTGTCATCCACGCTTCAACAGACTGTCATCCAAGCTTCGACAGACCCCAAAAGAAGATTCGTTAATTTTAATATACTGTACTGTACTATATAACCAAAACGATATCTTCACGAATAAGAATGAACTTTTATGTATTTTAAAATTTTGTGCATAATTATGCCTATGCCAGGCTAGGTTAGGTGTTTTAGTTTTGTAGGTAATTATATGTATTTGAAATAGATGGGCGGAGTGATGATATTTGATGGTAAGTGGGCGGAGTATTCATCAACTCATCATCAAGTTTTTTTTTTTTATTTTTTTTTATTTTTATTTTTACATGCAAGCATGCGTATAATGTACAAGAAAAACAGAACAAATACAACATAGAACAAAAGTACAAAGCACACATATGTACAAGGACAAAGGAACAAATCAATAGAAGACCAGCCAGAAGGGCTGACCACAAAACAAAAATGCAGATACAAACAATACACAATTAGTAACACAGTGTAATACAAACATAAGGGAAAACCCCAGGACAAAACGCACACAAAACAAGTCTGCTAACACCTCAAATACATACAGAGAGGCGAGAAACATACAAGAATAAGGACAATAACAATAAAGAAAACAGATCCGCCATAACAAACGGAAGGCAAAACATAACAAAGAGCACACGCCAACAGCCTGAAGGGCACACAATATGACAAACAAGCGCACACGACATCCATAACCGAACACACAAACGCACAGGAACCGCACACCCCCCCACGAGCCATACAAGAAAACCCACAAAACAAACCGGAGCACGCAGGAACCGGGAAACAATACCCACCCCACCCACTCACATACACACCCCACAACCAGGCAACACAAAATACATAGAAATCACTTGCGAGGAACATCGGAAGAAACGTACTTCTCCGGGAACAGCTCACAAGGATATTTCGACTTCTAAGCTTCCCAGACGAGATCTTCAAGGTCTGTAGGGTTTTTGATCCCCCGCGCTCGAGCGGGTATCATAAACTCAGGAACATCTATATCTGGCGGCATCGGCCAATGCCTAAGGTCACTGACGCAAGTCGCATAACGAGGCTGGGGAGCGCCAACAACGCCCTTCGAGGAAGCAGACGACACCGGAGAAGCGGACGAGGGTCGCCGAGCCTGCCACGCCTTCGCCATCGGTGCAGGTGTCGGACGCTGAGACGATAGCACTTCCACGGATACCGCAGGAGACACGGAAGGGACTGCAGGAAACGGAAGAGGCGGCAAGACCGTTGCCGAGGAAACGGGTAACGAGGAAGGGGCCACAGAACATCCAGAGCAAGCATCCTTTCTCAACATCACCACCAGGCCACCCCGCTCACCACCAACTACAGCAGGGGGAACCACCGCCCACGAAGAACCGGAGCCATCCGACGCAGGCAACGCACCTGAAGCAGGACCCTCGGACACCGGACCAGAAGTGGAGGCTGAAACGCTGGCACCTGCATCCTCAGGCAAGTGTACCTCCGCCACCACCGTAGTGTGCACCACATCCGGAGCCACCCCACCGTCAACGGAAGGACGACACTCGTCGAATTCGCCAACATCAGCCCACACAGAAGAACGCCGGGAACGCTTAGGCTCGGGCCGCACATCATCAGACCCAGAGGCAGACTCAGCGACCCGCGCAGCACCAACCGAGCGAACCGACGCACGCCGCAGCACGGCAGCCTCCTCAACCACACGGGGCACCAGGCCAGGCACAGGAGGGAATTCCGGATCCACCTCATCTCCCAGCACAGCCGGGACAGACGGCGAGGGTGCAGGGACCGGGACAGACACAGCAGAGGAAGAACTGGAAGACGAGGGGTCTGAGCAAACGGCAGGCGGAAGAGGCACAGGGACACCAGCTGGAGCACTAGGCGAGGACCCAACCTCTGGAAGAGATGCGGCAACAACAGGGGGCGCAACAGGCGGAGCAACAGCTGCTACAGAGGGCACCTCCTCAGCCGAAGAGACGTCCATACCCACCGAATCATCCCCCACAGGAAGGGGCGGAAAATCCTCCTCACTGAAGAGGTTCACTGGTGCAACAGGAGGCGCAGAACAGTCAGCAGCCTGATGGCCCAATAGACCACAACGATAACACGTCCGCGGCTGACGGGCGTAAAACACCCGAACGTTGTACCCCATAACTCATCATCAAGTAATGGCCACTGCAGCTGTCAACGTCCCCGTGATGCATGCCGTAAATTTAACGTCAGATATAATGCATAATCGACAGTTTCTCAAATACAAAATAATGTTATTATATAATCATATATAAAGTGTTTCACGTTCATAGTGATGGGTTTGGATGATGGATTATCCATGCTTTTAGTTCCTAATTAGGGTTAGTGTCGTGTGGTTTGAATGAAGGAAGTGAATGAAGCATTTTGGACATTTGTTTTCACAGTTCATCGTCAAACCAAAGGGCCATCGGGTTCACAACGTATAAGTCATGTACTGACTCATTAAAATCTATATAACTCAGTATTAGACTTACATTCTGGGCAGAAGGATGGGTTGTGTTTGGCTGAGTTAGGATGAAACGATGGAACACCTGGCTACGGGCGGGTTTATGAGCGGGGTCATTCGAATTCCCGAACGGAAAACCTTCTGAACCCTTTACTCCGGCCTGTTGCTTCAGTACAGCGTCGGGTAAGGTAGGAGCAGGACATGCTCTGGTGAGTGGCACACATGCATGTAAAGGCTTTATGAAGAATTAAAATGTTACTGTTGGAAAATAAAAATTGACGTAAGTATTCACTTATAAACAGTTCAAGTTACTGATTATTGTAATATTAACAAACTATTGGCGTGTTTTTACTAGTTTCTTGACTTGATTTTTTTGATAATGGATGCAGATACTTAAAATAATCTTTTTTTTTTTCCTCAGTGAGGTCCATGAAGTTTGCTGTGCATAGCGCCGAGGACTAAGACGGACATCAGGGTGGAGCACACGGCTGTTGCTGTACTCGCCGAGGTGTTGACAGAATAGTTTAGTATTTTACAGGACATTTTCGACCAAGATTGGCCTCAACTACTATTTCAAAATTACACAAGTGTCTGTACCTGTAATTCGTGTTTAGAAACTTTAAGGAATTACCTGTAAAACATTTGAACTATAGGTATGTTATCAGCGAGGCATGTAATAAGGTGAATACTATACGCGGACTACTGTCTGTAGCGGTGGTTGGTGGTTTAACCATTGAATTGAAATTGAAAATTCGTGCAGCGTTTCCTGGTCTTCTGCTGAACTATTACGTGGTCTTGTTACGTTGTGTATATGAGCGTGTTGAAGGCAGTGTTGGGTCAAGCTCTTGTCCCCGGCCTGACCTCCCTAGACGAGGTACTCCAGCTCTCTCGTCTTCAGCTCAAGGTAAGCAACACCTTGATGCTCAAGTGTGACCTTTTACCTGCGCTGCTTATATATGTGGATTAAAATATAATTATTCATGTGGCATATGATAATTTCAACATATAAAAGTATGTCAAAAAATATAAATTGATTGATTGATAAAGATTAAGCCACCCAAGAGGTGGCACGGGCATGAATAGCCCGTAAGTGGTACAAATATATATGATTGGTTTTCATGCCATTCAGGTAAGTGTTTGATAGCTCATCGTGTGACAGGAATCCATCAATCTCTAAGGTACGTAACAATTTCCTTCTGTTTCCATTGTTGCCATGTTACGATGTGTCGTAATTAATCACAACTTGAGAAAAGTCGGACAACACAATCACTTCCTTAACAAAGGTAGATGTTGTGGCGTCGACGTGGACCGTCCGGGTGACGTCAGCAGAGATGCAATGGCTAGGGTCACTTAGCTAGGTTTATCCGGGGAAAAGATAGGAGGGGGAGGGAGGCGGTTGGCAAGCGTTGCATCCTAGGAATCACAGTTGTAGAGGGTGGGGGGGGGGGGGGAGTGGAAAGTCTTTCTTGCGTGAACGATTCCTGGGTACAGTCGTGTGTACTGGGTGTGTAGAGGCGCACTTGCGGGCTGAAATATGTCCAGCAAGTTATGACAAGCTGCCTAGCGAACCAGAGGGCAACTGGTCGGTCAGTTTTCACCAAAGATCCTTATAAATAGATCTGGCGGAGGGAGTACCAGCACAGAAAATTTAGGTAAACCCGAGTTGACAGACCACCTGTTTATTTGTTTGGTCAGTCAGGTATCTGATTTTTTTTTATTTATATAAGTACAATATATACAATAAACGATATACAAAGCCTGACAAAGTACATGGGAAAGAACCAAAAGAACTCCCACGACAACAAGCCGTATGCAAAAAAAAAAATGCAAGACCATGAATACACCAGTTTTTTTTTATTCTGACAAAAATACAATATAAAAAAAATCCAAGTATGCATAACACAAGATCCACAGGAGTAACACAAAGAACTCAGACACACACAGAGCAGCTACACATATAACAAGCCAGCGGCACAAAAAAAAAAAAAAGGTAAAATAACAACGGAAAAAATACATTAAGCATGATAAATAAAAGTACCCAAAAGGGCCACACACACAAGGCAGAAGCCCACACAAATAGGAGCACAGCACCAGAGCTTCGCAGGAACCGGTGGAACATATGAAAAGACACACACGCAGACACACCAAAACACAAGGACTAGCGCACACAGGAGCCGGACGCAACTAAACACCCACACAAACTAACAGGATGAAACACCGGAACGTACAGGAACCGGGATACAAGTTCCAGAACCACAGCCAAGCACACAAAAAGAAAAAACACCGGAACACGCAGGATCCGGCAAAGGAGCACAAATCACACACAAACCCAAACAACAAGGACACACACAAGGAGCAACACAAAACACAACACAGGCAAACACACACAACACACCGCCGAGGAAGCCCTCAGGGGGCGGGGGGAATACACACAACCCAAACGCCCAAATGACCCAACAAGCCCTCCCCCAAATCCACCGCAACCACACCAATACACTGATCAAACCCCCTACCTCCCTACCAACCCCAAAGCATCACCCCGAACATACACGTCAGTGAACCAACCAGCAAACTCCAACGGAAAAGCACGCCACAACCACCACCACCATGTGAAACGCAAACGCCCCCGCAGAAAACCCAGAATCCGGCGAACCCCATAGCCCTCCAAACGCCCAACCCACACGTAAAACACATAATCCGCAATCAAGACACTAAGGGTGTTCCGAAGCCGCCTGGAGCCCTGAGGAAACGAAAGAAACAGGAACCGTAAAATATCCCCCCAAAACCCGGGCCCACAGAACACCGCAATCACATCAAGCAGCCAATCAACTAAGCCCTGTACCCTCTCACAAAAATAAAACACGTGTAACTGCGTCTCAACCAATCCACAATGCGCACAAGCCACAGAAGAACGCAACCCAAGCATACACAAACGATCATTCGACGGCAAGGACTCGTGCAGCATACGAAAGAGAAACTCCCGCTGCTGCGGAGCCAAATGCCGCCCACCCAAGACGGACCAAATCCTCCCCCCAATCCCAGCACGGAAACAAACCCTCAACCCGATGACTCACACGACGAAGGAGAGCCCCATAAACCCCCCGACACGACAGGGACAAAAACCCAGGAACACGACAGAGCTGCCGCAGAATCCCAACCGCTCGCAAAAACACAGTAGGCGTACAAAAGGCGACCTCACACCCAGCCCCTAACTCAAGCAAATAACTAAACCGAACTGAACAGAAATAAACCCCAAGCTCATTGAAGCCCCCACCCACCCCCAAATACTGACACGACGACACCCAAAACAAAGCCAAAACCTTGGTAAAAACATCAGGGATGCCAACACCCCCCCCCCCTCTTCTACCCTCAAAACCATGGAGCGATGAACCGGATGATACTTCCCACACCACACATACCGATAGACTCTGCACTCCAACCTATGAGCACGCTGCCGATCCAGAGGGAAGCACCGAGCCAAAAACCACACCCTCGAAAGAACTTTACTAGTAACACCAATCGCCCACTGATAAACCATCAACGGACGCAAGGATAACAAACCAACCACCACCTCAACCGACCGAGACACCGCATCCCAATTCCACTCCAAGGATTGGTCATACAAGCTAAACCAAGTAACTCCGAGAACCCAAACGACCTGACCACCGGAATCCATGACCCCGCCCACACTGAACGGGAGGCCCAGCTCCCCAGCCCCATCAGACAGGACTTACCCCCTATTAACAAGGGCCCCAGTGGCCAGCTCAAAACGCCGAACCGCAACCACAGAGTCATCGGTCGCCACAAACAGAACCGTATGGTCAGCATACCCACAGATTGGTAAACAGAGACCAGCGGGCAGCCTCGGAGGAACCACCAAAGCACAGGACTGAACCGTACAAAACAAAGGCTCCTAAAAAAGAACATAAAGGAGCATAGATAAGGGACACCCCTGTCTCACCGATCGGCAAAAGGGGCACCAAAAAAAACATTGATGCACACACAACTATGACAACGGGCATACAACATACGTACCCAAGAAACAAACAATGGAGGAAACCCGAACCTCTCCATAGGCTGCAACACAAAGCCTATCGACACATGGTCGAATGCCTTCGACCAATCTAAACTGAGCATCGCTGCAGGAAAGCGAAGCTCAGAGGCACACAGAATCACATCACGTAAAAGAGCATTGCAATGAAGCAAAGACCTACCCGGAATGCCACAAAATTGCTCAACCGAAACCACAGAACCAATAACATCCCGACACCGACCCGCCAGCAACTTCGAGACAACCTTATAATCAACATTTAACAGGGTGATCTGCCTCCAATTTGATAGAAAACGCAAATCACCTGGCTTCGGAAGCAACCGCACAACCCCATCGTAATGGGACGCGGGTAAACAACAGGTCTGGAAATAAAACTTAACCATCTCCAAAAAAGCTTCACCAAGAACATCCCAAAACGTCACATAAAATTTCACAGGGAGCCCATCCGAGCCAGGCACCCTGCCGGATCGGAAAGATCGCACCACACCCCAGCCGACGAACGTCCCTCACCAAAGCGGGACAACCCGCAGCCGACAAACCAGGCAAGCAGTGACGCAAAAAGAAAGTGGCCAGATCCTCATCCACCCCTACCTCCTCATACAGCGCCCCCAACTCCTGCTGCACGTACAACAGGACCCCATCCATGTTAGACAAAACAGAACCGTCTGGACGCTGGAGACCGGTGAAAAGAACCGAGTCCTGAAGGGCCTTCTCTTTCCGCAAAAAAAAAGGAGAAAGCCGTTCACCAGACACACGCTCGTCAACACGAGCCCGCACCCAAACCCCCTCTGCCAACTCCTCCCGCAAACCACAAATGCGCTCCTTACACACAGAAATAGCAGCAAAACAATCAACCCCACTATTAAGCAACACATACAACCGAGTCAACCTCGCCTGAAGAAAGCGCAACAAACCAAAATGCCCCGCTGCCTCACGCTTCGCAACCGCAACAAAAAAAGACTTGCATTCCACCTTGCACCACTCCCACCAGTCTAACACAGACGAAAACTCGCACTTGCGAGGAACAAGCCCCACCCACCACCCACGAAACCCAAGGACAATGCAGCAACCGACAATTCAACTTCCACCAACCCCTCCCCACACGAACCTGACTACGAACAGCAACACGCACCACAACCAAACAATGATCAGAAAAGGCAACAGGAACCGTACGAAATGCAAAAACAGAGCCCTCCCGCCCATGAACATAAAAACAATCCAGCCTGGAACACCCCCCTCGCACAGCAAAGGTGAATTCCAAATCGCCTCTAAACATGAGCAGCATCATGAAACCCACAACTCTGTAAGGTGGAGACTAATGCCCGAAAAACATTCTGCGGATGCGCACTGTTGCAATCCCGTGCTTGAGTGACAATTAAAATCGCTCCCCCAAAACCATGTCCCTTGTCATGATGCAAGAAGTGTAACAGCCCACCCTGAAAAAACTCCACCCTCTCTCGGCGCCTCGCCATGCCAGAAGGAGCGGACACAGTCAATAAGGGAATCTCCACCCCGAGGTACTGCACACGAGCGAACAGCACCCGGCCATCCTCATCCATCTCCGTGTGATGCACGGAAGTAGACGCCCTCCGGGAGAACAGCATCAGCGTGCCCCCAAAGGACATCCTCGGCGGATTAAGCACTACATGAAAATCATCATTATAGCTGTGTTCACTCTGTAGTATTACAGCTGTGTTCTCACCTGGTGGTGGTGGTGTTTAAGATTCGCTACCTGGAACTAAACGTTCCAAGTAGCATGGGCTATGGCGAGCCCATAATAATCATTGTTCTCACCGTAGTATTACATCTGCGTTCACACATGAAAATCATCAGTCAACCCAGACAAAGCACTC